GTATGTGGCTTTTCCAATGTTCCATGTTTTGTACTTTTGTAAAGAATAAATAAGAGAGTTTTGAAAGCTGTCTTTAGATTTCATTGATTGATCTTTAGATCTGTCGCTGTTCCCTACTTCTTTGGCTTCTATTTAATTTTTTGAAAAGATCCTGTGAGACTTGAGCATTGTAGCTTTTTCCAATTTTTTACTCGCGATTACCAACAATTGGGGTTATTCAAAAATTCCAATCATCGAAATATTGGCTGTCATCTGAAAGGAATTTCTCTCTGTCCGTTGGAGTATTAGTCATTGATCTTGCGCCACGTTCATGTTCCGCGTGGTGTAAAGAGTAGCGGGGCTGCCTACTGATAACAATTGCGAACTACGAAAAGCATAGGGAATGTGTTTATAGGGGAAAGATAACAACACAGGATATAATATAAGCAAAAAGTTTTTATGAGCAATTCGGGATTCTTGGAAATGGAAAAGCTCTTTGGTGCTTTCTAAAGTGAATTCATTAATCATACACGAAATTATGAATGTCGCAAAGTCTATACTTTTTAAGGAAGCATTTTAGGAGAGGTAGACATGAATGAGCACGTTTTCTGGAATACGTTTTACCATTTAACCAAGCAGTATCAGGGTAAGAAAAAACTAATGAGCACGTTTTCTGGAATACGTTTCACTATCCTTTAACCAAGCAGTATCAGGATAAGAAAAAACTGTCTCGAAGTTAGAATTTTTCCAGAGAGGTTGTAAAGTTGCCAGTAAGTTATCACAACAAGGCGCGTGCTATTTTTTATCCCAAATGGTAGTCAGGTTATTAAACCTAAAAAAATCTATACATGGAGCCGCACTCACAATAAGGTTTCTTAGGATTAATCAGTTAACCACTTAGAATTGATTGGTTGATTTATTGAACTAAATTTCTTGAATGCTTGTATTGACGAGAACAGTTCACAGTTCAGCCCCTATTATTAAATGAGGGAAAATTTTGATGTTTAATGATCTAGGAAGTGAATCACCTCATTTTGTTAAAAAACTTACCAAATTTGAGCCAGGTACTTTGAGTGGCGTTTACTCCTAAGAATTTGACGCTATAAATCACGTCAATGTATTCTAGGAAAGATTCGAAAATCTAAAAAAACGCCTCTCGATTGTATGCTTGAAAATCCATACGTCACAATCCATCCAACAAAAGTTCATATAATGTGAAAAGCCTTGTTTAATACCGCCAATCAGAGAAGGCTTGTGGCTATCTCGATACCTTCTAGCTATTAACTACTTTTATTACTGTAGAAAATCTAATCTTTTTATTACTGTAGAAAAAATCATAGAAAGTTACACGATCAGTGTTTGCAATATCTAACTATATTCAATCGCAGATCTACGGCCTTTGACAAAGAAACCTTATCTTAAATAATAAGTAGGTGGAAGGTTAGTAATAGCAAATAAAAATTATTTTTCTGGTCTCGCCAATGGTTCGCTAACTTTCTTTAATGTATTGTGTTTGAATGTCAAACCAAAATTATATTTTAGCCATT